ACACACACACACACACACACACACACACACACACACACACACACACACACACACACACACACACACACACACACACACACACACACACACACACACACACACACACACACACACACACACACACACACAAACAAACACGAATGCATTCGAACCATGCAACGTGCGTTTCTCACCACAGTCGTGTGCTGGCTCAACTTCATTGCTTCACGAACACCAGCGTGCAGAGCTGCTGGGCCAGTTGTCCGAATACAAAGCGCAGGTGGAAGCAGCGTCCGCAGAAGTTGACTCTGTGCGGTCCGCTCTCGAAACACGTTTGGCCAACGTTGACAAGGAGCGAAAGAAACTGGCAGAGAAGGTGTGGCTCTGCGTGTGTGTGTGTATCTGTGTGTGTTTGTGTGTGTATCTGTGTGTATCTGAGTGTGTTTGTGTGTGTGTGTGTGTGTATTACACGGGTGGCTGCTGCTCACGTGCTCTTCTCCTTTTGCACCACCGCCATCAGGTGAAGAAGCAGATCCGGCTGCTGGACGAGAAAGACGGCGAGAACGCGACGCTGAAGTCGCGACTCGACGAGAAACACAAACTCGAACACGAGGTGCAAGGAGATGCACACCCGCTCCGTGTGTGCTTGTGTGTATGTGTGAATGTGTGTGTGTGCCTGTGTGTGTGTGCCTGTGTGTGTGTGTGTGTGTGCCTGTGTGTGTGTGAATGTGTGTGTGTGAGTGGATGTGCCTGTGTCTGCCAATGCGTGCGTCTCTCGCTCTCACTCTCTCACATACCATTGCTACTTCATGACAACACGCACACATACACGCGCACACATGTACTCATACACTTTTACATCTCGAACCGCTTGCGGGGCGCAGGTTGAGACGCGACTGACGAAACACGAGGAGGCGATGACGGCCCTGCAATCCAAAGTCATGGAGGCCGAGGCAAAGCTGGCAATGTGCGACCCCTTTTTGCACGCCTGCGTTTGTGTTTGTGTTTGTGTGTATTACTGGTGTTCTTTTATTTCTGTGTTTATGTTTGTGGTTGTGTGTGTGTGCATGCTTGTGCTTGTGGTTGTGTTTGTGGTTGTGTTTGTGTGCGTGGTTGTGTTTGTGTTTGGGTTGTGTGCGCACGTGTGGTGACATGTCGCTGTTTGCACCTGTATGCGACACAGGCCGTGTGAGATGTGCAGATCATACGAGCAGCAGATTGAGACGCTGAACGCGACCATCGCCTCCCTCAGGGTCGGGGCATATGTCACATTGTGCACCACTTCACGCTGCCGACTGTGCTCGTCGACTTTCACCCATTACTGCGTACAGTGGAGACGCAACTCCCAACGCCTCACGTTCATTCGCTAACACACACACCTGCATTTACACATGCACACACACATGCACACACACACAATACAGAGCACACAGGGCAAGCTTGAGCGGCAGCTGCAGGACAGCCGCGATCACAGCGCAACTCTTCAGCAGTCCTTGGAGGAGCAGCTTGTGTACCTCGATGAAGCATCAAAACAAAACGGGAAACTTGCTGGTGACCTGACGCAAGCACAGGAGGCGTTGGCAGCCACAAGGGCGGAACTGGAGGGTGAATGCGCCACGCTGCGCGCAACAATCGACGAACAGAAGGAAACGATTTCAGAACTTGAGAAGAAGCTCTCCTCCGTGCGAATCGAATTGCAGGCCACATCCCATCACAAGACACAGCTCACACAGGTTGGTGTGTGTGTGTGTTGCACTGTGCTGTGTGTTCACGTGCGTGAGGCAAGGACCACGTGCCGTCGTGACATTGCTGGTGTGCACATGTTCATCGCGCACATTTCGTCATATGTATGCGTTTGGTTGCAGGAGAAAGAGGAGTTGAAGTCGCGGTTGGCGGAGAGCGCGCAAGAAACTCAAACAGCGATGGACGACAAGACGGAGGCGGAAGTCATGCTGGAAGTACGCAACTGGCCTGCGTGTGTGTGTGTGTGTGTTTCTATGAGTATGCGTTTGTGTTGGCATGTGTGTGCGTGTGTGAACCTGCCAATTGGGGTTCGCTCACACCTTTATCCGATTGCTTGCTGCACACAGGAAACGAAGAAGATGCTCGTGTCGCAGAAAATGAAGGCGCAAAACGAAATTGAAGCACTTCAGGTGATGACATCCTTCAAGTTCCACCATTGCCATTGAGACTGTGCTTGCATGTCTTTTTCTTTGATCTGCTGGAGCCCACGGCACTTGCCGTGCCTCTTCTTGTATCTCACACACATACACACGTGTGCGCACACACACACTCTCTCCCACTCACTCACACACACACATGCACACTCACACACTCACACACTCACACACACGCACACACACTCTCTCCCTTCCTCATCACCGCCACCGCTGCCAATGTTCAGGCTCGAGTTGCCGACGCGACGTCACGTCTGGATGCAGCGGAGAAGCGAAACGAATCCGCACAGCAGCAGTGGCAGTCGAAGCTTGATGACTTGAGGTGCGTTTGCGCTCTGTCTGTCACTGATGGTGTGCTATATTTGGACACACACACACACACACACACACACACACACACACACACACACACACACACACGCACACACACACACACACACACACGTTCACCTATGGTTTGTTTGCGTGCATGTACAGGGAGGCGCTGAACGCAGAGAGCAGTGACAAGCGGAAGATGAAAGAGGAGCTGCAGCGCGCGTCACACGAGCGATCACAGGAGGTGCGATGTGACCCATGATCACACTTGATGTCAGGCCGGAACGAAAGCGTGGCCTTAATTTGCGTAATGTTAGCACGTTCAGATTGCATTTTGAAACAGTTTTGTTCCACTTGACGTCTTCGCTCTTCCCGATGTGCTCCTAACCCTCAACATGACAATTCGTGTGGTGTGTGTATGTGTGTGTGTGTATGTGTATGTATGTGTGTGTGTGTGTGTGTGTCAGGTTGAGGAGCTGCGCAGCGAGCTCTCGCGCCTTCAAGACACATTCGCGTCGTCGGAGCGGCGGGCACAGGAGTCCGCAACGAAACTCAGACAGATGGTCGACATGGAGGACCAGCTCAAGTCAACACGTACGCGTGTGTGCGTGTGTCTATATGTTTATTTGTGTGTGTGTATGTATGTTTGCTCATGTGTATGTTCGCTCATGTGTGTGTGTGTGTGTGCGCTTTCCGTTGTGCGTGTGTGTGTGCACGCGCTTTCCGTTGTGTGTTTGTGTGTGTGTGTGTGTGTGTGTGTGTGTGTGTGTGTGTGTGTTCGCTCGCCATGCCGTCACGTCACTCACACCGTCACCACCGCTGCGGTTGCGGGCACACGAAACCTGGCTGCAGTGCAAGACGTGAATCGAGAGAAACAGGAGGTGCTGGCACGCGCAATGAAATTGGAGCAGGACGTGTCGCGCCTGATGCAATCAAACAAACAGCTGACGAAAGACGGCAAGAATGCACAGTCAGCACTGGAACAGCTGACTGCCCGTTATCAAGAGGTCCTGCAGCAACTTAACCGCTTCCAGGAGAGGTGTGTCCCCCCCCCAAATGTGCATGCATACGATGATTGGGCGTGTATCTTTGTCTGCGTGTGTGTGTGTGTATGTGTGGCTGTGTTTGTGTGCGTGGTGCGGTGTGTGTGTGTGTGTGTATGTGTGGCTGTATTTGTGTGCGTGGTGCGGTGTGTGTGTGTGTGTGTGTGTGTGTGTGTGTGTGTGTGTGTGTGTGTGTGTGTGTGTGTGTTGGTCCATCTTTGTCTGTGTGCGAGTTGTCTCGGGGCTGTTCGTGTTTTCTGCCCACTGCATCGGGGTGTGCTCTCTTGTTTCATGCGCGCCAACGCATGCTCACGCTCCATCGCACGAACACACAAGGTCATGGGTTGACGACACGGAGGTGAAGAACTGCGAGGCGTGCCACAAGCTGTTCTCCATTAAGACGCGACGACACCACTGCCGCCAGTGCGGGTAAGCAGCAGAGAAGAAGAGCAAGACGAAGAACAAACAAAAGATCAACATACACACATAACCCACTTGGATTTGCTCCTCTTTCTCACTCGTTCCAACGCCTCATTTCTCTGCTCACGTGTGTGTGTGTGTGTGTGTGTGTGTGTGTGTGTGTGTGTGTGTGTGTGTGTGTGTGTGTGTGTGCAGGCACGTGTTCTGCAACAGCTGCTCCAGCAACACGGCCAAGCTCGCCAGTTCCAAGAAGCGTGAACGTGTATGCAACGCCTGCTTTGAAGAAATTCAAAAGCTGTGAGGTTGCATACCCTTGTGCTTGTATGCTAGGTAGACAAGCATCACTATCAGTAAACGCGCTTGAGTTTGATTGATTGAATTGGAGGGGCAAGTGTGATGGCTTCATTTCATGATGCTGTTTAATCACTTGTCAGAACTGTAACAAGACAACAGAGCACGAGGCAACCAATACGAGAAATGTACAGGTTTGATGGTTCATCTCCACTAACAACATGTTGTTCAGCGCAGTCATGGAACAACAATACAACAATACAACACAGACAAGACGGATAAGTTATCCCAACGAGCAAGAAGCAACAGCAACCACACAGCAACAAATGTGCACACAAACACACAGACACGCAGCAACATTCGCGCACACATCAACCACAACAAGTTCGTTTGTCACATCAACAAAGCAACTGAAAGCAAGGTCCCTTATCAAAGCGGTGTGCAATAGCAAGACAGGTAACGCGGAGCGCCGGACAAAGTACAGTGTCACTGTGGTGTACACGACTGCTGTGACTGAGGTGGCTGTGGCTGTGGTCGTTGATGCTGCTGCGGCTGTCGTTGTTGCTGTTGGTGGTGGTGTGCTGCAGAGGGTGTGCTGGCCACACGCGCATATGAGCTACCTCCGTATCGTGCCTCCACCCCGGGAATGTACTGCTGGTGGTGCATGTCGTTTGGCTGCGGCGGCGGCACGTTCTCGCACGCGTGGTCGTGCGCTTCAAACTTGAAGTTGAAGGTGATGCGACTGCTGTGCTCGGCAACCTGGGCTGTGTAGCACGCCACCAGCTGCTGGCACAGCGGGGACGTGCATGTCTGCACGAAGAAGATGTCGCGCGAGCTCACCATGTTCACAATGTCACTCGCTTCCACGGAGCACACGAGGTGTTGTTGTGGATGTGCATTCACAACAGCGAGCATCGACTTGAACTGAATTCACGCACGGACAGGAGCAGAAAGGGGTGTGTGCGCGCGCGCGCTGTGTGTGTGTGTGTGTGTGTGCGTGTGTGTGTGTGCGTGTGTGCGTGCGTGTGTGTGTGTGTGATGTGGGCAGAATGTGAGTCATCTGATCGAAAGAAGATTGAACGAGCACATATAAATAAAGCATTCAGTGTGCGCATGTGGAAGATAGCGTTGGACGGCGAGTACAAGCACAAGTACGACCGCGTGCGCGCGCGCGTGTGCATGTGTATGCGACGATGCCCACCATGTCCCCACTCACGTTGTAGAACCACATGTTGTCCACAAACTCCGTCTTCTCGCCAAAGTGCCGAATAAGCTTGAGAAGGCACTGCCCATAGTCCACTGCCGAGATCTGCTGGGGCCGCAGCGTCACATGCTTCCCCGCATGCACGCTCACAATGAACCGGCGCGGCGGCGCGCGCGAGTGCAGGCAATTCAGCGAGTACGGCACAACAAAATAGCGCCCGGGCGACAGCACAGACGTCTCGCAGCAGTGACGCGTGTCAACGGTCCTGTTGGTGCCCGTGACAACCTGCGCCATACGCAGGCCCCCGGCAGCGTCGTTGAGACGAAACACCATCAGCCCCATGTCTTGCGTCTCATACACGTCCGTCGCAGCGCGCAGCCCGCTCTGGAACAGTGATATCTGCAGAATCACAGCATCCTCTGAAGGTTTGGGCGTGTGCACGTGGTGGATGAGTGTTGATGACGGGTGAGCGAATGACTTTTGGTGGGGAAGGGGGTATTTGAGCGATGGTGGGTGAAGGTGTAGGTCTGCCATCATTTGCTTGCACATACACACAAACACACACACACATAAACACACATAAACACACATAAACACATAAACACATAATCATACACGCACACACATACACACACATACACATGAGCACGCACCGAGCGTGACGAGGAATCCCGTCGTTTCGTCGGTTGGATTGGATGCGAAATAGCCGCTCGCCCGCGCCTCGTACCAGTCATCGCGAACCTGAAAGTGAGAGACAGTGGGTTTGGGTTCGTGTAGCTGCTGGTGAGTGCGTGGCCATATCCTGTGTGTGTGTGTGTGTGTGTGTGTGTGTGTGTGTGTGTGTGTGTGTATGTGTGTGCGTGTGTGCCTGTGTCTGTGTGTAGGTGTGTGTGTGTGTATGTGTGTCCACCTCTCTGCCTCCTCCTTCTCCGCATCTCCCACGCGTTGTGCGGACCTTGCAGATGTCGATTGCGGTGAAGTACTGCAGCACGTCCTCCCATGCCATCCAGAAGATCCCGTGCGCATTGTCCCCCGGCGCCAACAGCAGCCTGCTTGCCGCACCAGCCGCCGTCACCGCAGCCGTTGTGTCAGCAACGCATATTCAACAGTACGGGCAACAATCAAAGCAGCACAACGCAAACAAGAAAGCGCGCATGCACACCACAACAACCACAATCACCACCGCAACGGCAACCACCACATACAGCAAATCACAGCAGCGGCATCAGCGTCGCACCTGAGCTCGTGTGTCCATGTGGGCGAGTCGTCAGCCCAGGGCCCGCGCCACGACATGGACGCCGTTGGATTGCGGAACTGAATCAGCCGGTGGCCGCCAACCTGACACACGCGCAGGATCGAGTACGCGTGGCTGCAACGACACGGTGATGGTGGTGGTGGTGACTTGGCGGCAGCAGCAGGGGTGGTGATAAAGGGAGCACAGAAAGGCATGATCAATGTGTTGTTGCTGGCGTGATGCGAAACATGCGAAGGTTAACATGCAAAGATAAACACACGACCAGCAACAGCACAAGTTGTGTGTGCATATGTATATTGGCTCACCCCATGGTGAGTCCCGCAGCTCTGTATCGTGCTGCAACGGCGGGGTCTGCGTTGCCGTCAATGCTCGCCCCCATCAGGTAGTTGGCGTCGAAGCAGCTGCTGACACGCGTCCACGTGTCTGCCTCGTCGACCATGTCTGCTTGCAAGTTGATGGTCACGCATGGCGCACCCGTGAGTGTGCTGAACCCTTCACACATGCTGCCTGCTGCCAGCGCTTGGTAGCTCCCGTGCAATTTCGCCTGCCATGGAGGCGGTGGTGTGCGCATGCAATGGGATGTGTGTGTGTGTGTGCGTGTGTGCGTGCGTGCATGCGTGTGTGTGCGTGCGTGCGTGCGTGCGTGCGTGTGTGTGCGTGCGTGTGTGTGTGCGTGTGTGTGTGTGTGTGTGTGTGTGAAAGCATGATGTGAGGGGGGGGGGGGAGATGGGGGACAAGTTGCAGCAAGTGGCACATGGATGGAGCAGCAAGTGCCATCAGAAATGACGCGCACGTGTGCGTCCTCATGTGCACCAGTGAATGCAGGTGCGGGTGCAGCAGACAAATCCCAACAGGCGCAAGCATGAACAGCGAGAGCGAGAGGACGCGCTGCGGCAAACAAGACGATGAGAGCAGGATGTGTTCGCACCATGGCCTTCTCAACCAGCGGCGCCCAGATTTGGTTGCGGGAGAAACTCGAGTAGAGGAGGCGGTTGTTGGCGTCGCAGGGCACGTAGTCGTCCACAAGCACCACCGTCCACTCTCCGTCTTTGCACAGCCGAACCTGGCGGTGATGACGATCATGATGGTGGTGGCGGTGATGACGATCATGATGGTGGTGGCGGTGATGACGATCATGATGGTGGTGGTGATGGTGACGATCATGATGGTGGCGGTGATGGTGGCGATGGTAAGATAGAATGGGGGCATGCATCACACTAGCGAGGGGAGAGAGGCGTGACAAGATGGGGGTGTGATGACAACAATGAACAATAAGGCCACGTTCACGCTCAAGTATCACGCACACACACACACGCACACACACATACAGACAGAAAAGACATGCCATCAACTCCTAAACACTACAGAACATAGGCAGAGTACCTGGTAGACACCGAATGGGGAGGTGTTCTGCGTGAAGAAGAGGTTTCGTACAAGCTCCTCACGCTCCGCCAACACCGACAGCGCACTACAGTAATGATACAGCGAACATACACACACACACACATGCACAGGCTGTGAGATTGTGTGGTGGTCATGCCATGCGCATGGACTGGCGGGTGGAGGGGGCGAGGCGAGGAGGTGTGCATTCGCACACGTCAGGCCGCACTCGTGGTAGCGACAGTGACCTCGACCAAGGCGGTACCAACACCACCACAACACCACAACAACAATGACAACAGTCTCGCCATCACGACTATCGCAACACCACTGGCAGACCTGATGAACCAGCAGTTTCCAATTTGTCCCTGGACGACGTCGAGGGGCGCCGGGCGATCATGTACCACCAGCGGCTGACACATGCCAACACACATTAACACACACACACACACACACACACACACACACACACACACACACACACACACACACACAAGCGTTGATCGCGGATGAAGATGATGCACGTGAGACGATGGCGGCGAATGAAGGCGGGGAACAAGTGTTGGAAACAACATGTGCTCAGAGACCCAAACCCCATCACCGGTATGACGAGCAAACAGTCACAAGCATACAACGCGTCCTCACGCCATTGCCACCGCTGTCATCATCGCATGGCCGCCGCACCTCTTGGCGCCGCTCAAACTCAAGCAGCCGCTTCCACCGAATCTCCTGCGCTGTGCGGAGAGACCCCGATATCGACCTGCAAACACACACACACACACACACGCACACACACACACACACACACACACACACACACACACACACACAAACGGAGGATGTGAGCACGTGCAAGCACCAACGCCTTCCGTTCCGTCAGAAATGCGCCTTCACATGTCCAGTGCCTCGGCCACCAATATACCACAGCTTCTTCGACCCTTCCCTCCCCGCCTCTCTCTCTCTCTCTCTCTCTCTCTCTCTCTCTCTCTCTCTCTCTCTCTCCGTCCCGTCACCCTTCTCCTGCTATCTGACTCACTTGTCTGACGGTGGGAAGGCGTGATCCACGTATGCTCGCCCCGTTGCAGTGCATTCCCGAACAACACGCTCCAGCTTTCCTTCGTTTGTCTCCCTATCATGCAACCACAGCACGTGCGTGTGCGTGCACTCGTTGACAACACGCGGTCGCTGCTGCCGCTGCTGTTGTGATGATGGTGTGCCATATGGGGTGGTGCCCTGCTCGCCACCAACGCGCGTGTGTGCCGGTGGCGACGATGATGGTGATGATGATGATGGTGCTAACGCCGCGGCGGGCGACGTCGTTGTTGATGGCGGCGGTGGCGGCACATCAAGATGGCTGGTGCTGGTGGTGGCGGCGGTGGTGGCACTGCTCGCACTGCTGGCCGCGCGTGCCTGCGGCGTTGCTGGTCCTGTCGATGTGTCGCGTGGTGGCGGCGGCGGCGATGGCGGCACGTGCGAGCCGCTGCCCTGACACGCGCTCGAGTGCACCTCAGCCTCCTTCAGGACAGTGAACGTAGCCTGGCACAGCGGGCATGTGTATGTGGTGGGAACAGGGGCGTGGTGTGGCCGTGGTGCCTGTGACCATGGAGATGACGCTGATGAGGCGGAGGAGGGCTGGGCAACCGATGGAAGTGGTGGTGGCGAGCCTTGCTGTGCACTGCTCCGTGCGCTTGGTGTGTTGCTGTGGCTGTTGCTGCTGCGACTGTGCGTGCCGCTGCCAGCACGTTGCTGTTGGCGATGGTGTTGGTGCACGTTTGTCTTTGCCTGATCATCGCCATGTGAACTAAGCAGTTGCTTTGCCAAGTCCTCGAAGCTGCTTGCGTATGCATCCATGGCAGGCATGTAGAACAAATCCCCCTGCAAGGAAGCAAGGACAGAGAGAGAGAGAGAATATATGTGTGTGTGTGTGAAAGAGAGAGAGAGAGAGAGAGAGAGAGAGAGAGAGAGAGAGAGAGAGAGAGAGAGAGAAATGTTGTGTGTGTGTGTGTGAGGAACAAGAAGTGGGATGTGTTGTGTGTGTGAGAGATGAAATCAAAATGGTACACGCGATGAGCCACAAACGACGTCTGCTATGTACGTGTGTGTCTGTGCGTATGTGCCTGTGCCTGTCTGTCTCTGGCGTAAATTGCCTGCTTTGACCCCTTCTACACCCCCCGCGCCCCACCGCTTGAGGCATCATCAGTTCCAACAGCACGCACAAACGAATGGACGTAAACTGCGGCCCTGCCGATGACTCACCAATGCGCGCTGCACTCGCTCTTCGTAGATGGACCGTGTGCCTTTGACGCGCAGGATCCATACTTGCTGGCCATCTTGGCCTGCTGCGCTCGGGGTGCACACGTATGCACCAGGTGTGGCACTGTCCATGGCGACACGCCACCAAACGACTAGCAATGGGCCGGCCGCCGGCTCGGCTGCTCACACAACTCCACAGAAACAAGAGGAACAAAGACGGAACACTGGACAGGCGTGCTTGGAAAGCAAGCACAAGCGTGGGCGGTGGAACAAGGAAGAGCTGGTCGAACGGCAACAAGGCCCAGACGGAGGAGGGAAGCTGGGACAAAAATAGCAGCTGCTCAAAGTCTCTCAAAGCCTGTCGAAGAAGAAGTAGTTGGAGCACCCACGCCAGAAGAGCCTTGCAATATCTGTATGCTTTGTACATGTGTGACGATGACCCAAGCCCAAAGACATGCAGGTGAGTGCGTGCGTGACTGCGATCCCAGCCAGCACCAACACATGCGAAGCAAGCAACATGCACATCAGCCCGCATCCATCCATCCATCAAGCATCCATCCATCGTCCACCTCACCAACAACAAGCAACACACCCAAAAGCGCTGCGGTTAGGGAGAATTTGTGCATAATTTCCACTGAAAATCAGCATGGCTGGCGTGACAAGAGCGACAGGCACCCTGCTGCTGGGGTCGTGTTCGACGCTGGCTCGTGCTGTCTCTGCCTCACGTCAGTGCTCTGTCTGTGCATACGGGTGTGTGAATGTGTGTCTGTGTGTGTCTGTGTATTTGTCTGTGTCTATGTGTGTATGTCTGTGTGTGTACGTCTGTGTGTGTGACATGACTTCACCTTATCCTTTTAACTACACCACTCACACACACACACTGCACATCACACAATCACACAATGCAAATCACACGCACACGCACACATGGTGGCGCGTGTGCACTCGACAGCTGGGCTGTCGTTCTGCTTGGTGGATCTGCAACATGGCGCTGCAAGCATGAACGGACTTGCCGCGCTCGTCAACAGCGTCAACGGCAACGGACTGCCTTGCATCACGCGCGTGCTTGATCCTGGCGATATGGCTACCCTGGGCCGCGCCCTCGACCTGGGAAGCAGCGCCGTCGTCGTCCCGGGCGTGAGCACCGCAGATCACGCCCAAGCCATCGCAGACGCAGCCAGATACCCACCCGATGGTGAGTTGTTGTTGTTGTTTAAGTTGTTGTTGTTGTTTAAGTTGTTGTTGTTGTTTAAGTTGTTGTTGTTGTTGTTGTTGTTGTTGTTGTTGTTGTTGTTGTTGTTGTTGTTGTTGTTGTTGTTGTTGTTGTTGTTGTTGTTGTTGTTGTTGTTGTTGTTGTTGTTGTTGTTGTTTAAGTTGTTGTTGTTGTTGTTGTTGTTGTTGTTGTTGTTGTTGTTGTTGTTGTTGTTGTTGTTGTTGTTGCTGTTGTTGTTGTTGTGTGTGTGTGTGTGCGTGTGTGTGAAACTACGCGCCCTGCTTTTGTGCAGGAGACAGACACATGGCCACACGGTTGTGTGTTGAATGCGGAGCTACCTCGTCCTCCTGACTACTTCATTGTGCTGTGCTGTCATTGCTGTGCCAGGATTCCGCTCGTGGGGACCGCTGCCTGCGTCCCGCCCTCCGTTCACCATCAGAAACCAGGCCATCACGCACATCGGCATGATTGAAAACAAGTTTGGCGTGGACGCCATCACAGACATCGCAAAGGTGAGTAGAGCGAGGCACTGCTTGTGAAGCTGCACGCACACACACACACACACACACACACACACACACACACACACACACACAAACACACAAACACACAAACACACACACACACATTTACACGCACCGAACGAACACACCAATGCCCCCCCCCCTAACAAACTTCATGGCTTTTGTGTGAGTCTTTGTGTGCGTCTTTATGTGTGTGCTAATGCCATTCCTTCAACACTGCGCTATCGTCCACAGACGGAACTTGATGCCATCTACATTGGACCCACAGACCTCTCCTTCTCCATCACAGGCACTGCCTCTCCGCCAAAGGATAACAAACAAGTGCAGGTACGTATGTGCGGGTGGGTGTATGTGTGTCTGTTGGTGTTGACGCATTCATGCGTGAAAATGTGTGCCTCTCTGTGCATGAGAACGTTTGTGTGTGTGTGCCATTCTGTTTTGCCTTTATCGTCTCGCCATTCCACCTGTCTGTCGCTCTCACCATATCTCAACCAAACAACCAACCAACCCCCACTCCCCTCCTCAACCATCACGCGCGTGCGTGCGTGCAGGAGGCAATACAGCACATTGCCGCAACATGCCAGGCTGCAGGCAAACCGGTCGGGGTCCACTGCACACACGCACACGCACTGCACAAGCTGGAGAAGGGTACTGGCGTGGCGTTTGACTTTGTCACCGTCGGCAGCGACATGAGCATGATGCAAGACGCCCTCTCATCGGCAATTGCACGCGTGCAGAGTGGGGAGGAGGATGAAACAAGCGCTGATGGTGGTGGTGGTGGCGATGGTGGACGTGGTGGGCTGACGGCTGAGGAGGAAGCAGAGCAGCTTGCGCTGTTAGAGCGAGAGTTGGATCCACAGCGGATTGCAGCCATATTGCAGCGGGCAATGGAGGACGACGCGTTTGATGTGAAGACGAGCGGCAGCGCTGATCGCCGCCATGGCAGGAGGCCACACTGATATGTGTGCGTGTATGTGTGTGTGTCTGTGTGTGTGTGTATGTTTGTGTGTGTGTGTTCTTTGTGTGTGTGTGTGTGTGTGTGTGTGTGTGTGTGTTCTTTGCGTGTGTTTACCTGGTGCTGTTGATGCCAGGCGTGAAAGTTCGGTGGTGTCGACACGAGCTGTCACTCAATCACCATCGATCGACGTACCCCTCCTCCTCCCTCTACCCCCCCCCCTTCCGTCCCTTCAGCTTTGACGTCTCTGTCTCGTGCGATGGCGTTCATTGTCATCATAATGGATGGTTCGTTTATACATATACAGGATGCACAGGGTGGCCACAGCAGCGGATCGAGAACACGTGTTGCATATGCGCATGAAGAAAGAGAGAGAGAGTGAGTGTGTGTGTGTGTGTGTGTGTGTGTGTGCGTGTGTGTGTGTGCGTGATGCGAGGAGGAACATGGTGCGAGTACGCGCAAGAAGAGATTGCATCATAATGTAACAAACAGACAAGATGCATGGCTGCCAAGAGTCACACAGGTCCACAAAACACCATGACGGGTGTGGCATGATAACAGCGCGGGCACAGTATAGAAGAACAACCACGGAGGTCACAAGAGCACCGAAAAGTTGGGCGGGGGTGAAAGGTAACAAACCCAAGCGGACACACCTGCTCACACGGCACAGAGAGAGATAGAGAGAGCACGCGCATATTCGGTGAAAACAGCTCACGTTTCAGATGTGTGTGTGACAGTGTGTGGATGTTTAGACGTGTGCGTAGAGGCTGCGTGTGCATGACTCTCTGTGTGTGCGTGTGTCCAAACTTGTCCTACTATGAGCGGACAGTGCTGCCCTTTCGCGGCGATGGAGGCGCCGATGCAGCTGTTCCGCTCTCGCTCATGGCACTGAATGAATCCAGGCAGGGTCGTGGCGTGGGGGGACGCCGAGCAATGTGAGGCACGCGGCAGAGCAAGGGGTTCACATTGCACGCCAACACACACACACACGCACGCACGCACACAGACACACACGCACGCACACAGACACACAGACACACAGACACACACACACACACACACACACACACACACACACACACACACACACACACACGCCCATTGCCCCTTCTTCAACGTCTCTGCAGCCAGGATGACATCTCACCTCGGTGTTGCAGAGAGCAGTCGCCTCCTCCCTTTCCGCTTGCCACCGCCACCGCCACCGCCACCGCCACCATCGCCATCCGCGCTGGTCGGGGTTGCGTTGTGTGTGTGTCTGCGCAGGAGCGCTGTTGGTGGCAGTGCCTGTCCACACTCCAGTCCGCGCGTCTCGTAGAACAGAATGTACGCCGTCTCCAACGGGTGCGTCTACAAGGCGCATGTTGTGTGTGTGTGTGTGCGTGTGTGTGTGTGCGTGTGTGTGTGTGTGCGTGTGCGCGCGCGTGTGTGTGTGTATGTGAGTGAGTGTGTGAATCAGTGTGAGTGAGAATGTGAGTGAGAGTGTGCACGAGCGTGAGGGAGAAAATGAGTGTGAGTGTGTGAGTGTGAGTGTGTGTGTGCGAGTGTGAGTGTGTGTGACTGCGTTTGCACATCACCGCCGCCACCACCACAACTTCCGTGGCCGCCTCACCTGCCCGTAGGAGCACTGTGTCGCCGTTCGCCCGAAGAACAGCTGAAGTTCATCGTCCGTCATCACCTGAGATGGTCGCGGGCGTCAACATGAGTCGGCTGTGGCTTGCACTCACACACACACACATACACACACGCACTCATCAGCAAGCAAGCATGATTATCCAAGGGACATGCACTCACATCAACAATGTCATCGTCAAAGAGGACCCAGTTTCCGTTGGAGCGAACAATGGTGATGTAATGGCCACGCGATGGGCGTGACCCAATGTGAACCACAAACGCAAACAAATCGTAAATGCGGTCCTCCTCCTCTGCTGCCTCCGTCTACACAGCACACGAGACACAACACACATGGTGGCAGCAGTGAGATGGATGGTGAAGCATGCCCGAACTTTCATGGACACGGACCACAGTCAACACGCAGTCGCAGCTCACACACACACATACACACGAGCACACACACACGAGCACACACACACACACACGCGCACACACACGAGCGCACACACACACACGAGCACACACACACACACACACACACACACACACACACACACACACGCATGTACGCTTCCACTCCGCTGCCACGTTCACATCAGCACGATGACGGCTGTTGACAGACCGCATTGAAGAGTCTGAGCTCTTTCGGAAACACAACGCGATGGTCGAGTTTTGTAAACTGTTGCATGCGCTCCACGTATTTGAAACGTTTCAGGTGAATGGCCAGCACGTTTGGCATCCGTTTCACGCGCATTCTAAGATGGCAGCGAATGTGGTGGTTGTGGTGGTGGTGGTGACGATGGTGTACGGACGGAATTGGCACCGCGACAAAGGCGAACAGAGCGGAGTGCAGGAAACGAGAGAGAGAGAGAGACAGACAGACAGAGAGAGAGAGAGAGACAGAGAGAGAGAGAGAGAGAAGCGTGGAAGGAAAAGTCGGGAGAATAGACCAAAGGTACACACACACACACGCACAGATACATAGCTGGATATAGATGCATGTGATCACATCACAAGTACGCACCGTTTCTGTGCCTCCTGTTTGCTGCAGCATGTTTCGCAAAAGTATTTTGAGTCCGCACTCAGCGTCTCCGTGTTGGAGAAACTCCTGTGTAGCGGTGGACGGCAACGGAAAGACACGGGTTAGGGGTGTAAGGGTGGTAAAAGTGGAGAGGAGGAGTGAGGGGCGTGGGCGTGGGGAATGATGAGCAAGTGGTCACTTGTGGTGGTGCTGATTGCAGAGCCGCGTGTGCGCGATGAAACGGGATGGATAAATACATGCTCCCCTACACAGCACAACAAAACACGCGCCAAAGAGAAGCCCGCAATCCTCCACCACAATCATCACCATCATCGCCATCATCATCATCATCACGCCATCAAGCCACCATCATCAGCACCAGCACGGCCTGCCGGACCTGAGACAGCTGCTGATGGAGCAATCGCGATCAATGTCGAGCGAGAGATCAAGGAAACACTCGTCACGCGTGCGAACCTGAAGTGCATCGCATGCAGGGGGATAAGGGAGTGCGGATGTAAGTATGCGTGATGTGTGTGTGTGTGTGTGTGCTGTGATTGCGGATAACATGCAGCTGTTCCTCCTCCTCATCGACCACCACCACCACCACCACCACCACCACCACCACCAGCATCGGTGTTGGGGCTGACCGTTTCGCACGATAGACACCGCGTTTCGCTGGACAGCACGCCCTCAAAGATATCGTGCACCCATGTCTTGTTCTCCTGTGACGACGACGACGACGACGACGTTGCCGACACGGCGCTACGGGTGGTGCCGGAGGAGATGGTGGACGCTGGACTGGACGACCCACGCCGCCCTTTGCTGCTGCGCGCTTTGACCACCACCGTCTCTGCAATGATGGGTTGTGCGGTGTGAGCGTGTGTGTGTGTGTGTGTGTGTGTGTGTGTGTGTGTGTGTGTGTGTGTGTGTGTGTGTGTGTGTGTGTGTGTGTGTGTGTGTGTGTGAGTGTGTAAGTGTGTGTGTGTGGGGGGGGGGAGAAGTGGGAGAGGGGGAGAGAGGAACAGAGGAGATATTGAGATGGGGAGAGAGGAACAGAGGAGAGAGAGAGAGTGTGTGTGTGTGTGTGAAGACAAAACGCAAGTTAAGGTACAACGAATAAGGCGATGCCACATGGTGTGCTGATGCGATGGTGAAAATTGCTTCACACACCTTGTCGCTGCACGCATTCCGCAATTGTGTTGAGAAGGAAGTTGAGCAGTTCCTGTGCATCTTGCTGCATGTTGGACCGAAACAGCTCTGATACCAAAGTACCAAAGCACAGGGGAAGTCAGAGTCGTGTCACGGACACCACGACGGATTGCGTCAACCGAAACGAACGTGTGCACACGTGCGCACACATGCACCCATGTACCCACTTGTATGTACACATGCACACGCAAACACACGCAAACACACACAAACACGTGCACCCGTGCGCACACACATGCATGCGCACCGTTCTCTGCCTTGAGTTGCTGGTAAAACCGCTTTGGTGATATGGTGCCGGTCTTCTTCTTTCCGTGCGCAATGCTGTGGAAGAGGGCCGCCAGCTCAGATAGCAGCCGGCTGCCGTCCTTGCCTCCATCATCCGCAGTGAACCCACTGTCCCTGTTGTGACGCAGGCGGCACAGGAATTACAGCGGCAAGTACATGCAGGGGTATGGGTGTGAGGTTGGTTGTGCATCATGTGGTGCTGCAGTTGCAAACCCCTGCATGCTGACCAATGGGCTCTCACAGCAGATGCAACCATTCGCATCCCATTCCTCACATACACACACACACACACATACACATACACACACACATACACATACACACACACACACAAACAAAATGCCACGGCCACCCTCGATGATGACTTTACCTGTACTGGAGTACATGATGTCTAAAGGGCTTGCAGAAGTAGAGTGCTTGCAACACGGAGTTGCAGTAGCATGTGTTTCCAAACTACCCCAAATGACCAAGGAGAGAACACAGGTGAGTCACAAGAACCAGCCAAGTGTCCACAAAACGACAAGCAAATGCAGCCACTTCTCTCACCCCATACTGCGGTTGCCTCTCTTCCCTCTCTCCCAAACTCTCTGTTCCGATTGCTCCAACGCCCAGCGATCACCACGACTATCACCAGGACCACGACTTGTCAATCAACGGCTTCTTGCAAACCACCAGCACGCACATTCACAAGGCCAAGCAGCCGTTCCTCGCCGCTTAGCAGCAAGCGCGATCGCTCCTTGGAGTGAGGCAGTCCCATTGCGTGGCTACCACCATGCACACGGAGGCGAGAACAGGCGACTCCTGCTTGGAGGGGGATGGGAATGAGTGGGGGGCCCCGGGTATGTGCGTGTGTCAGGCGTGGACGGGTGGATACGTGGAGGGTGTGTGGAGGGGTGGAGAGCGAGGACAGCAGTGTGTGTGTTCTCAGCCAACGGCTTTGTTGTTTTTGTTTGTGCGCCGCCTTTGCTGTTTGCACATTTCTATATGTCGCTGTCGTCGGTCGGTCATGATGGATGATGATGGTGGCGTGGTGGGGCGTGAGAGCGTTCACGGTGACGAGCGAGGTGAAGATGGGCGGCACAGAGGGGGAGAGGCACAGCAAGTCGAGCAACAACAACAACAACAACAACAACAACAACAACAACAACAACAACAACAACAACAACAACAACAACAACAACAACAACAACAACAACAACAACAACAATAAAATGGCAAGTCGCCTCTCTCTATCTCCCATGTCAGGCGTGCTTGTGGAAGGAGAGGTGGAGTGTGGCTGTGGGAATGAGTTGTAGCTCTTCGAGTGTCGCTGAGTCATCTTTCAGCACCTGGCACACGCACACACATGGACATAATGAGCTGTGTACTGGAATTGGGGTGGGGTATGTGTGCGTGGACGTGTCTGTTTCTGTATGTGTGTGTGCGTGTCTGTCTGTCTGTGTGTCTGTCTATCTGTCTGTGTGTCTGCCTGTCTGTGTGTGCAAGTGGTGTGCTTACCAGCTTCGGGTATGCGCGAACGAGGCGGAAGTTCGTCAACGAAGGGCTGCAAGGCAGACAGCAGACAATCACCACACATTCACAAACACACGTACACACACACACATAAGCTCATGAACAGCACTTAGAACTGATGCTCGAACAATTCACTCCGCGGTGCGCAAACACTGCCAATCACACCACCACTCCCACGATCGCTACAAGCCACATATCACCACGCATTGCCACATATCACCACCACGGCCACAGCAGCAGCAGCAGCAGCAGCAGCAACGTACTCGTGCTTTGAGATCTGCCGGCGCACGTCAGCAACGGTGTCTCGATAACGCATCTTCAGCATCAGGCGCCGAGCACTTCCAACCAGACGCACCTGCCACAACGCCAACAACAACGACCGGATGGGTGGCAACACACAAGTGCATGGGGGAAAGTGAGAGTCTGTGTGTGTGTGTGTGTGTGTGTGTGTGTGTGCTTGCTGTGGTGCGTGTGTGTGTGTGTGTGTGTGTGTTTGCTGTTGAGGACAGAGCACGACGCAAGAGCGCATCAACACTGCGCCCAAACATGCACACACACACACCAGACACCACGCAGCATCACCTGTATGGTTGCAATGTCGAGCGGCGTGTGCGGGCGTTCGGCTGGCGGCGCTGTGCCGTTGGTGATTGCGTCCGCGTGTTGCCGCAGAAGCGTGGCAACAGGCGTTCCAACCAGCTCAACGCCCCCGCGCTGGCCCGGCTTCTGTCAGCATGTGAATATATGTGTGTGTGTGTGTGTGTGTGTGTGTGTGTGTGTGTGTGTGTGTGTGTGTGTGTGTGTGTGTGTTGGCAAACTCAAGAGGAGGGTCAAGGGCCCTTCCCACCTCAATCCAACCCAATAACTCTCATCCAACCTTGGTGCTGTCGGCTGCTCCAATATGGGACTGCACGGCCCCGCGAATGTCGACCACGACGCCGTTCACAACAACTGCTGGCGGCAACCGTGACAGCAGCTGCTCCGTTCCGCCCGCGCGCCCTGACACAGCAGCAGCAGCAGCAGCAGTGTGTGTGTGTGTGTGTGTGTGTGCGTGTGTGTTTTTGTGTGAGTTTGTGAATGTATGTAACGGTGTGTGTGTGTGTGTGTGCATGTGTGTTTTTGTGTGAGTTTGTGTGTGTGTGTGTGTGTGTGCATGCGTAATGTCTGCAGAGAGGCGATGAGAGTTCACGTCACGACCAAACACCCACATCAACACCACCATCACCACGTCCATCAACACATCATCATCATCATCATCATCATCATCATCATTGCCATGTCACCTGGGGCCTTATCGTCCTGGCTGCCAACATGGACTGCCTCTGGTTTCGCCTCATCGCGCACCAGCTGCGTTTT